AGGTCTCCCCGAAGGGACCCGTTGTGCACGGCCCCGGTGTCACCCGGACTGCGCCGACCTCGCCAGCCTTCCTGCCCCCGTGTCTGCAGAGGCTCCTTGCCCTCCCAGGACCCGTCCCAGGAGGAGCCGGCGTGTGCTCAGATCAGGGTCCCGACTGTCGGGTGGAAAGGGTCTCTGAATTTAAGTTCTGTAAATCCAGCCCTGTACCCCGTCTCGTCACTTAACCTTTAGTCCCGAGGGCTTGCTCTTTCCCCCCCTCTCCCAAATACAACTTCTAGAGTCTTCTGAGACCCGCACTGCATTCGATTCTATCTTGGAGAGCATTCTTAAGTTAGCGCCTTGAGGCAGTGCGGCTGGAGGTTCAGAGAGGAGGCTTGACACTTTTTCCTCCACCTGCACCAGTTTGAAATGGAAAACGTGAGTTGAAACCAGGTTGGAAACTGACTTTCCACAAGAGGTGGGTTGCAGAATGCAGCCCCCGGGCGCCGTGGCGCGCCTTGGTGATTGGGTGCTGCCCCTGCAGCTGGTGTTACAGCTCACGTGGCGGTCAGGTGCAGGGGCTGCTGGAAGGAGGTCTGATATAATCCAATAGAGCCGTTTTATTGGGTTCTATTAACCTGTGTAACCTTGAGCTAAAGCATGGCAGGAGTTTGGTGTAGGAGCCCACATACCAAGCGGAGTATTGAATTTTAATTAGTGCATTACATGTCTAAAAGTGGGATAGATTCTCCTCAGCTCCCACTTCCTGTTGTTTTATATTTTCCCTAGGATTTTATGTTTAATGAAACAGTTTTAGTATTGAGGGTGGAAAGAGTACCTTTTGATTCATGAAACTTTGACAAACTTGAAAACTGAGTAGGTAAACTCTGAAGTGTGATACTGAGATAAGGTAGGAAAGGGAATTTTTAAGATGGCTTCTTGACACTGTTTTGAAACTGCGTTGACATTTTAATCTTAAGGACCACAGAAGTACAGAGTTTTCTATGTGCAAGGGACTCTGGCAGTTTAATCCAACCCCATTATTTTACAGAAAGAAATTAACCAGAGAAAGTTACTTGAGATTGAAAAGGAGCTGAAGACTTCATGAACTAGATACTTAAGTAGATAATTCAGACCTCCCTCATGGCTATTCCTGTATGAAAATTTGTTTTGATTATGGTATCTTATAAACAGTCAAGTAATTACTAAATTTTTATTTTTCCCTCCCCGGTTTTGAGTAATTGCCTTAATTTATGATTTGTACCCATTAGAAGCAAGTGATACAAATTATTTATAGTTAAGAAATATTTACTTTCTATCAATTGAAATAGTACTTTCCAGTTAGTTTGGATTTAATAATTATGTATTTTTATTTCAAGAATGTTTACTTATCTTATTGATTCTGATAGTCCAGGCATGGGAGATTGGCATTTCAAGAGTCTCAGTGTTGGGTGTCTATAACCTTGATATTAATTAGGAATAAAGGTCCTATACACATGTAGTAACCAGATTCCAGCATCCCCAGCACCATTACTTAGTGGTCCTCAAATGCAGAAGTCCTGAAGCCCTTGCTGGGGTGGGGTGAATTCTTTGCATCTCTCATGCCACAGTGCTTAGTGTAGGCATTTAGCATTTAGTAAATACTTCTTGGCTTGTGTGCACTTTTCCTGGTGGCTTCATGAAAGATGGACCATGTCTTATCTGTGTAGGCCTTGTGTCAAGTGTAGTGGGTACTCTGTAAATGTTTGTGGTCTTGAGTTTAACCAAACTTAAGACCGTAGCCAAGTGTCCTGGAAGTCATCATCATTATATTGTAAACCTGAAATATTTCTGTTTTTTGTGTGTGTTGAGTCAGATACTTTACTAGGCTGAAATCCAGTATTGAAAGATAGCAGGTATCACATATATTAGAAAAATTGCGGCGGGGAAATTTAACATTGAGAATTTTGACCTTTAACATGTTACTGTGACATTGGGAAAGGACACCTTTATTTAATTTTTGGTAGAACACCTTAAGCTAATATACTATGACTTTTCCACTGGAATGAAGTTTGACAACCATGAATTGAATGACCCTAATTGTTACTGTAGGGCCATTTTAAAGCCTTGGTTTTCATCTTATAAGTATATCTTTTTCAGCATAAAGACCTTTGTAAGAAATATGACTTTGGGGTCCTGGCCCTATAGCTCAGTTGGTTAGAGCATCGTCCCCATACACCAAGGTTGAAGGTTCTATCCCAGTCAAGGCACATACAAGAGTCAACCAATTAGTGCATAAATAAATGGAATAACAAATAGATGTTTCTCTCCTGTTTCCCTTATTCATTCTCTCTCTCCCTCTCTCAAAAAACAACAACAAAAACCCAAAAACAACAACAACAAAAAAAACGAAACAAAAAGAAAGATAGAAAGAAAGAAAAGAAACATGACTTTGGGAGCCTGGCTACCTTGGTAAGCTGTCCGGAATTGATATTTTACAGTTTTTGGGGCTGTGCTAGATAGGTCATGCATGCTTCATGTTGGTAATACAGCTAACAACAACAACAAAAAACCCATGCAATGAAACCACTGTATTTTCTTTTTCTCTAAGTCTTATCACCTTTTTCTTTAATAGATCAGAATAACATGTCTTGTTTATTGAAAAAATTGAGGAAAATTGTCAAGCAGCCTTTTTCTTTAATAGATTAGCATGTTTTGTTTATTTAAAAAAATTAACTGAGGACAATTGTCAAGTATTTCTTTTGGAAAGTACCACCACTCCACCCTTTGAATAGCCTTGGCAAGTAATGTTTGGGCAAATGCAGGGCCAATTCCATAGAGCAGTTCCTATTTGAATATGTAGTCATATAAATAATAGCCTTGACAGGAACAACATCTTTGGACTACATGCATTTTTCTTTTCTGCTGACACTATTACTGAAAACAGTTGTACAGTAGAGTAGGATGGTGTTTATAGGGGGCAAATAATTATACATCTAACTTTGCTGGTTCTTATATCAGTTCTAGTCTACCCAGCCTGCCTACTGCCAGTGTTGTCCCTTCTACCCAGTTCTTAAATGGATTTTTAAGACTGAAATACATGAAGATTCCTATCCTTTTCAGGAGGTGGGATATGGAATTATTCTGGTTCTCTGAGCATTTATTGTTCACAGAGGTATGGTATTTCACTTTACCCTTGGCACGTACTCAGTTTGTGAGATTCTCAGTTTTAAAAATACTGTACTTCCATTAGGAATTTTGAACTATATGGCATAAACATCTTAGTGAAGTGTGTGTGGAGCATCTAGAATATATCAACATAGGTTTAGATGGAATTAGGATATAGAATCAGGCAATTAATAAGAAATAGGAAGACTATCTAGTCCTTTTCTCTGACATGGGAAGGTCATTTTTAAGTCATTTAAACAGATGACAGCTTTTTTTTTTTGAGTGTTTATTTTTAAAGGTAACCAGAGAAGCAATTCTACAGCCTTTCTTTAGTAATTGTTAAATAGTCCATAGAATTAATAAGTTGCTCGTGTGGTTCCTTTTTGTATTCCAGATCCCTTGTGGACCTGGAACCTCTTTTAAGCCTGCTTAGAACTCTAACAGCTTGGCCATTTCCCTCTGCTCCTGCCATCCCTACTCCTTTCAGGCAGCTGGAACCTGTTCTTGTCCAGGGCAAAACTTGCAGAGCCAAGATACTGTGTTACTGCCTTCTGGACTGGAGCTCACTTGGATTGATCCCTTATCAGTGGTTCTCAACCTTCCTAATGTCGCGACCCTTTAAGACAGTTCCTCATGTTGTGGTGACCCCCAACCATAAAATTATTTCTGTTGCTACTTCATAACTGTAATTTTGCTACTGTTATGAATCGTAATGTAAATATCTGATATGCAGGATGTATTTTTATTGTTACAGATTGAACATAAAGCATAGTGATTCATCACAAAAACAATATGTAATTATATATATGTTTTCCGATGGTCTTAGGCGACCCCTGTGAAAGGGTCGTTCGACCCCTAAAGGGGTCGCGACCCACAGGTTGAGAACCGCTGCCTTAGATACTGGAAACAGGCCAGCTAACTGATAGCTGGGCTCTTTGGCTGTAACAATTTGAGCTCTTTTGAAGGGTTAATTTTTTATTTGCAGCAGGTACTCTACACCCTGGACTCATGCACTCATTACTTTGACCCTTTTCCTGACTACCTTGCTATTGGGTTCTCTTCTGCCTTCTTAGCTCAGTCACTTAATGGGTGATTTTCATTCAGTTTCAAAGGTAGCTAGTTATTTTCAAATGCTTGTCTTTCTACCTTTGTCTTCTCTTAGTTTTGAGCTTTTAATTGACTAAATACCTAGACTGTGTGTACCATGCCTATTGGGACCAGTTCTGTGCTGTTTGTGGCAGTGTCCTCAGTACTCAGTACAGTGCTTGGCACATAGTAGGTGATAAATACATAACTGATTAGATATAAGTTCATCCTAACAGTAAATCTGTGATTAGTATGGAAAATTAGTGTTCATATAGGAATTTAGAATTCATACAAGAAGTTTAGGCATTTCATCATTAGTACTAGAGAGTCTATGTCTGAAATTATAAGCACATTCTTATAAAAAAGCTTCGTTAGTCATCTGACAGGGAATTTATTTAAGAAGAAAAGATATACTAGTAATTTTCACCATGTATTGTTAGGTGTTACATGTTTCAATTTTTCTTGAGTTTTATTAATATGTTATATATTATTTTATATTTCTTACACGTAGAAGTTTTATGGCACTATAAAAAAGTGAGCTTAATGGCCCTATTTTTGTAGATTAGTAATTATATACTAAAAAGTAAATTCTCATTAAAAGGCCCTTAAATGCCTGCTCATAAAAAGGAGAGACCACTTTGATTTTGTTCTCCATACAATCCCAATTATTGTATTGAGGCAAGTCATCAAACTCTTTAGTAGTCTAAACCTTTAATTCGGTTTCAGAACAGTAGTCATGTATTGAATATCCAAATTACCATGTCTTTAACAAGTAGTGCAAACACTGTATATTAAAAAAGTAATGACCATAACTTTTCTTGTGGAATTTCTTGGGCTAATTTTTTAAAGAGGACTTTTGAACTAAATTTCCCATGAAGGCCAAAAATCTCATACTTTTAATGATAGTGCAGTTTGCGTGTATGTGTAGAAGAGGGGGTGGTAATTTTTATAGTGGTATTTTTAAGTGCACAGTTTACTAATTATGTTGAGGGTAAACACTTTCAACTCTAAAAGGAAAACTTCAATTATCTGAATGAAATGAGGTACATGAAATTAATTCAGATAAGTGGGGGAATCCTTAGTGTAAATGATGCATGTCAAGGGACATGACCTCAATCATGATTTTTTTTTCTATATATCAGCTGCTTTTACATTAAGAGATTGTGATTCTTTTTGGTCATGCTAGGAATCATTGATGGGAGGAAGTAAAGTTTGTTCAGTAGTTTGGTTTTTTTTCTTTTGCCACAGAGGGAATCCAGAATGTGGTATTCTGTGACAAGCATAATTGCTCATCTCTTGCTTGTTCTGCCTGCCCTTTTAGGTGGTATACCACAGCCTTCCATTTTGTCACCTTCCTGTCAAATGTCAAATGTGTGTGGGGACTCCTTGAGAATACAGTTTATTTGAAATAGAAGCTATACTCCTGTCCAAACTCAAGATGTTTATACTTCCTATAAGTTGACTTACAGCAAAGTGTAAGGGTGAATTGAGCTGTAAAAACTTTGATTTCTCCCTTGACCCCCTTAGGGTTTAATAGTAAGCAGCATCTTTGCAATGTACACCCTTAAAATAGAAACAAATATTGGGACATAACCCCTGACCTTTACAGATCCTAACTTGAAATGAAAATTTTACTGATTGATTAGAGTTTAAGGAAGTTTTAGGAAGATGATTTTTGCTGCCATTCACTAATGCTTGCAGCATTCCAGGGCCCCTGGCATCTGAAGGCTGTTCTGTAATTTGCAGGCAGCCCTGTAGCTGAGATGACAGATTCCTTCAGGAATCTGTTTTGTTTTTAAAGGGAGGTGAGATTATCTGAGCCCCAGAGATGTGTACTGACACCCCTGAGGTGAATTTTGCTTCTTTTATTCAACATTACCTATAGATGCTTTTCTTAAAGAGAATATTGCTCTTAACAGAGCTCCTGTTTCAGCAGGCACCAGCTTCCTTTTTACCTCTTGGTCTTTGAGATATGAAATGATTTATATCTTGATTGCCTTGGGTGGAGTGGCTGTGTTATCAGCAAGCTTTGTATCCAGACCTCTTGAACAAATCCTAGGTCATTGCCTGAGGCCTTCTTAAATATATGCAGGCTGTGAGATTGAAGATTTTAGGCTTTAGGGTCAGTCCAAACTGATTTTGACTCTGCTCTTCATGAATGGCTTGTCTTGGGGGAAGTTAGTGCTCTGGTTTCAGTTTCCTCATCTGTAATGTTGGCATAATATCACTGGGTATATTGAAGTTTTTTGTTTGTTTGTTTGTTAATCCTTATCCTGGGTTATTTTCATTGATTTTTTTTTTTTTTTTTTAGAGGGGGGGGAGGGGGGGGAAGGAGGGGGGAAAGGGAAAAAGGAAGGGGGGGGGGAAGGGGGGGGAGGGGGGGGAAGGAGGGGGGAAAGGGAAAAAGGAAGGGGGGGGGGAAGGGGGGGGAGGGGGGGGAAGGGGGGGGAGGGGGGGGAAGGGGGGGGGAAATGGAAAAAGGAAGGAGGGAGGGAAGGAGAGAGAGAAACATCAATGTGAGAGAGACACATTGATTGGTTGCCTCCCACACTCACCCTGAACGGGGTGGGGATCAAACCTGCAACTCTGGTAGGTGCCCTTGTTGACTGGGAAACCCGAGACCCCTTGGTGCCAGGGACCGATGCCCTAACCACTTAGCAACACGGGCCAGCCTGTATTGAGTGTTTTTAAGAGTGAGTAATCTTAGTTGCATTGATTTATTGTTATACACAGATAAGTGTTTAAAATGTGAAGTAATGAGCTATTTACGTAGGTCATTGACTGTTTTATAAAGAAGTAGGTTTTGTTCATTTGATGATAGAGATAATCAGATTAATTAAATCTTTTAAAATAGGGATCTTGCTCAGATGATTTATAACTATGTGAGACTCTTGCAACCATCAATCTGTTTTTATACAAAGGATATACTGATGGGGTGGTATAGAGAGGCAGAGTATGTAGTGTTCTCATAGGAGTAAGGCAGACTTGGATTTGTATATAGATGATCCAACACTTGGATTACCTTGGACAGGGTACTTTATTTTTTGATTCAGATTATCATCTGTAAAATGGGTAATATGAGTATAAAGAATGGTAAAGGGTAAAAAAGGATAATAGAAGGGTTGTTGTAAAGACAAGAGATGAGGTATACAAAATACTTAATAACTGAATCCATAAATACCAATAGTTATTGTGATCCTGGACAAGTGACTTCCCCT